CTGGGTGTCACTGCTCAATCGCCCTTGTACTGCTCTCACCCACTGCTAATCCACTGCGCTGCTCTTAGTCGCTGCTCAGGACACTTCACTCCTCTGTCACGTAGCTTTCCACCACTGCTGCTCAAGTCTTCCATGCTGCTCACAGCCACTGATCTGCTACCTAGATGTGTTTCACCACTGCTCAGTGGCCTCCATTTGCACTGTAATGGCTCCGCTCAGGCTGGGTCACTGGCTGCCTCTCTGTCTCTCAAATCGGCTGTCTCTCCTTCTCTCAGATGGGTGGCCTGGCCACTTCTTGGTTGGGACACTGGGCTGCTTCTTAGCTGGGTAACCCTTCCCCAAAAATATGATGGACATACATTCCTTTTGAACAGCATAGTGAAGGCATTGCTAATTTTTGCTGCAAAAAACACCATGTGTAACTGCCTATATAACTGCACAGTTTTGCTTTTAATGTTTGATATTTTTTGCTATGGGGCTTTTCCATGCGCTCTGTCATCAAGACACTTAAATGTTATCCTTTAACAGAAGTGCTTCATCTTGAGGTTTCAGATCATGTTCTTCCTTTTACTTTAAAAGACTGATACAGTCTTTTAACTTCTGCTTTTATGTCAATTTTTTTTTATTACTGGTCTGTTTCTCTTTCCCTTTCTTTTCTCTAGGGCCCTGTAGCTCTTTAAACAGCCTCAGGCTCCTCTGTCCCTCGTCCTTACTCTTCTGTTGATGTCTGAATAGAAAATGGGAGCCGGGGAGGACCCTGTATTCACTCTAGAAACCTTGGTGGAGTCCTAAAATAATGGAAAATCTTTAGCTGCCTGAAGAAGGTGGAGGGTTGAAAAATTAACTCTTTCCAATTACAAAAATATCTGCTTGGATATATAGATAGTTTTCAATTTATGACCACAATTGAGCCCAAAGTTTATGTTGCTAAGTGAAAAAATTGTAAATGAGTTTGGCCAATTTTATGACTTTTCTTGACACATTTGTTAAGTGAAACACTGAAGTTGTTAAATTAGTAATACAGTTGTTAAGTGGATCTGGTTCCCTCATTGATTTGCTTCTTGGAAGGTCGCAAAAGGTGATCACATGACCCAGGGACTCTGCAACTGTCATAAATGTGAGTCAGCTGTCAAGCATCTGAATGTAAATCACCTAATCATGGGGATGCTGTAACTGTGTTAAGTATGAAAAATGGCCATAAGTCACTTTTTTCAGTGCCATTGTAACCTCAAATGGTCACTAAGCGAACTGTTGTAAATTAAGGACTATCTATAGTTTATTAGAAGCATAGAGAGTTGCTGTATCCTAAGTCAAACCCAATGGTCTAAGTCACAGGTGAACAGCCATATTAGAAGTGGGCAGCTGGAGCCCTTAGGTGTAAGTTGCAACCCTCAGTCCCCACTTATTTTTGTTGCAGTCATTGGAACTTCTTCAGACTACAGCTTTCAGCAGCATTTGAAATGGCAAACATTAAAATGGTATTCTGAATCTCAAAATATATATGTATCATATGTTCTCAAACAGAAGAAAAAGCTGGCTCTGCCCACAGATGTGATGTGTTCCCATCAACTTTGCTTTGTTGTTAACACTTCAACCTTCACCCTTCCCAAAAATATTGAGATGCTAAGGCATTAAAGGCATTAAAAAGTGGATGTTGGTGGATGTTAGACAGTAAGGCCTTAAGCCAGGGACCGTGTGTGAATGTGCTTTGTTGAGTAATACAAAGCAGACATGCTATCCCTAATCGAATGGGCTTATCTAACATTTGCTTTAGAAAAAAATACATACAGGGAAGAATTAGGAGAAAAAGAAACACAACTAAATTAAGGTTAAAATAACTATCGGTTCAGTTTCATACCCTTATTTGAGTAGAAATTGAGAGAGATGATTTGGAGCGTTGAGTTCATGGATAAGATCCCCCAGGTAGGTAGATTTGAAAGAGTGGGCAAAAAGATTTGTGGCATTATGAAAGTTGTTTTTGGAGTTACTTATTTTGGATTGATAGAACAATTAAGAGACAGAAAAGTTGCTTCTACTTTGCATTTGGGCTCATCACACCTTCCTTTAGATTTAGATTGCATGATATGTTGAGCCAAACTTTACATGACACCAGAATTAGAATTAGAATCGAAA